GTGCTGATTGTTCTAGGGGAGCACTGTAACAGATCTGATATTCCTTCTCTCTTCTGAAAAAGGCTTATTTTTATGATTGCTTTATTTTTTACATGTACCTTGCTAGCTAGAGCTTATGGTCACTTTCCCCCTTCCCTTTGGATACCACTTCTGATTTTCTGAAATGTATTGTTTTGATTCAGATAGTTTTCCTGACTTTTCTATTTAGCCACACTGTGCTTTTTTCCTGCTTTGTTTAAAGACCTCTTTTGTGTGAGTACAAGCAGTTACTTCTGCAAACGAGCATGAGAGTCTTACAAAGGTATGATCAGGAAATAATTATAGCAAACTGTTTTGGGTAGGCATTTATACAAAAGGCCATACAAGAAAAAAATGAGACAGAATATAAGCACAGGTTTTAAAACCAAAAATAGCATATGTATTTTTACCTTTATTTTCATATTTTATAATCCTGAATCAATTGCCATTATTTTGGTTTAATTAGATTTGAAGAATATCTGATTTCTTTAAATGCCTGCTGTCTTAGAAATCTTCTATTCTAGATGAAAAACCGTAGTTTTCATTACTAGAGAGGCAACCAAGTCTTGTTTCTCTAGCCAGCCTAGCAGTAGAGAAAATGGGTTTGGTGGATGTTCTATTTGATGGATAAGGAGTTGGCTGGACGGCAGCATCCGAAGAGTTACAGTTAATGGCTCAAGGTCCACATGGAAATCAGTAACAAGTGGTGTCCCTCAGGAGTCCATATTGGAACTAATGCTATTTTATATCTTTGTTAGTGGCATAGGCAGTGGAATTGAGTGTGCCCTCAACAAGTTTTCAGATGATACCAAGCTGAGTGGTGCAGTTGATATGCTTGAGGGAGGGGACACTGTCCAGAGGGACCTTGACAGGCTTGAGAGGTGGGCTTGTGCAAACCTCATGAAGTTCAGCAAGACCAAGTGCAAGGTCTTCCTGCAGCTGGGTCAGGGCTGTCACCCGAATCAGTACAGACTGGCTGTTGAAGGGGTTGAGAGCAGCTATGCAGAGAAGGGCTTGGGGATATTGGTAAATGAGAAGCGGGACATGAGCCAGCAGTGTGCACTTGCAACCCAGAAAGACAATCGTATCCTGGGCTGCATAAAAAGAAGTGTGACCAGCAGGTAGAGAGGTGATTATCCTCCTTTACTCCACTCTTGTGAGCCCCCACCTGGATACTGCATCCAGTTCTGGGGTCCCCAGCACAAGAAAAGCATGGACGTGTTAGAGTGGGTCCAGAGGAGGGCCATGAAAATAATCAGACGGCTGGAGCACCTCTGCTATGAAGAAAGGCTGAAAGAGTTGGGGTTGTTAAGCCCGGAGAAGAGAAGGCTTCAGGACAACCTTATTGGAGCCTTTCAATACTTAAAGGTGGCTTATAAAAAAGATTGAGGGAGACTTTTTTACTGGGGCCTGTAGTGATAGGACAAGGGGTAACAGTTCTAAACTAAAAGGGAATAGATTCAGATTAGGTGTAAGGAAGAAATTTTTCACTGTGAGGGTGGTGGGGCACTGGCCCAGGTTGCCCAGAGAAGCTGTGGATGCCCCATCCCTGGATGTGTTCAAGGCCAGGCTGGATGAGGCTTTGGGCAACCTGGGGTAGTGGGAGGTGTCGCTGCCCATGGCAGGGGGGTTGGAACTAGATCATCTTTAAGGTCCCTTCTGATTAAAACCATTTTATGATTCGAAGTGGAGGAGGATTCATGGTTGACTATTAATAAACATAATTGTGAATTTGCTGAAGATGGAGCTAAGAACATGTGTTCTGTCAGTAGGTATTCAGGAAGATGTGCATGTTAGGATATCTGTATTCAGAAAAGTGGGGCGTTCTTGGTTCTCTTTCGTTTGAATTAAACTATGCTGGGGATGTGTATGGTTTATGTAGTTAAATTCTGTTTAATACTAAAAGATTGCGTTAAGAAATTTTAAAGTCACATTTCTTAATTTTGTAAGTGACACTAGAGTATTAATTTTTTCAAAAGCAACTATTGCATTAAAAGTTGAAAAATTGGAAGTAGGTGTTTCATGCTGGGCCCTCGCTTTGTCTCTTGTATGAATGCTACTGCTTTGGACTTCTGCCGTGCACTCACAGACCTAAACCACCAGTTTTACAAGTAAATGTACTTTTCAAAACAAAATGTATGTACAGGAAATTAAAAGCTTCTTAAAGACAATTAAGGACAATTCAGAAGAATGATTTTTTTTTTTTCTTGGCTTCTTCCAGGTACTAAATTGAGGATTTGTGTTTTCCTTTAAACAGCTGTTAAAACCTGGAACAGGTATATCCGTTTCCCAAAAAGCCTGCGTCTGCAGAAGTATGCTTTTGATTTTGCTGGTTTTTTTGACTCATGTTTTCTTTTCCTAGCTTGAATTGTCTGTCCTTAATGATAAATTTGGCTCTCTGCTACCTGGAATGAAGTAATAGGACACTGGCAACAACCCATGTTATTCTGTTGGTTTTTGGCATATTCTGGATGTGTGGTACTGAAATACTTGACTGCATGCAGATGATGCTTCAGAATCAGTTGTGTGCAACTCATCTGTGTTTCCCAGCACTGTGGTGTAGCTTTCTTGATGCTTTGAACTGCCTCATCCCCTTCTATTTTCCTGATCATTTCAAAGCTAGTGAACTGGTCAGGTGTGATCCCAGCATATCTGTGTGAGTCAGTGGTTCTGCCTCCTCATACCCCTATGTATGTCATATGTGAAGGAGCTACTGTTCCTATCTCTTCTGGGACTGTTTTTGGATTGGCAAGGTGGCTTTTTCTTGAATCTAGGCTAATGTCATATTCACTGACATTTGTGAATTGCTTTTACAAGTATTTTGGGATTTGAGAGTGCTGACAAGGAAGACCCAAACTGACCATGCTAAGGCACTGCCTGAACATGAGTAAAATGTTTCTGGCACTGTGGTGGCCCCAGAAGCAGTTTAACTGTAGTTGCGCATCATCCAGCCAAGCCAATAGCTAGGATGAGTGACCCACAGTGTGCAAAATCACCTGTGAGTAACTGGTAGTTGAGCACTAAACTGTGAGTATGAAACAGAGAAGAGACTGATTGGAGACTCTTGGTTTTGTGCCTCTTTTCTCCCTTCTCCCTGTGGTGGTGAAGAACATTTGTGTATTTGAATTCTAGAAGTGTATTACTTTTTGTTGTACAAGAAGCATGTAAGTAATTCAGAATATTTTGCAGCAGCAATTAGCATTAGTGAGAAGTAGGAATGGTTGTTTTAAAAGTGGATGTCTAGCTGTGAACTAGTTATGACTTCTCTGTTTTAATGGAAGCACTTTCAAGCTGAGAAGACTGATACTTATGCTTGGACAGACTGGGTTTTTTTCAGTTTGTCTTTTGACAGTTATGCAAAGTTTTAGTTAAAACTGATTTTGGCAGGAAAGGGTAGGAAAAGCATCACATGTTTGCAGGGAGAAGAAGCCCTTGTCTCTTGGAAACTCAAATACAACTGAAGAGTATCTACTTGTTAGCTTCAGAGCAATAAATTATTATAAGCAACTTGGGGAACATAACCTGTATTTAAGATTGTCTAATCCTTTCCATTGTGTGATCCTGTTTACTGTTGCATTTTACTTTAAGTGTAAACAATTCTGAATTATGTTTTCTGAACTGTTTGCTAAAAGTTGAATGAATCTTCATTCAGTGGTTATAATATGCTAAAGATATTGTTAATATCTTTCTGGATACTAATCTAGTTCAATATATTGCGTTACTCAGGATGTGTAGTAGGAGAGGAGAGGGGTCTTTTGCCTTTGTTTCTATTCCAATGACCATTTTATGGAAAAACTCTTAATTCTTCCAGTCTTTAGGAAGGAAATAAAACATTGTCTATGGATGGTCATTCCCATTATCAGGGCTCTAGTTTTATGCTAATATGCTTTTAAATGTGTGTTGTAAACAAAAATACAATGTAAGTTAAATCAAGAATATCCTTAAAACTGGTTTGGCATTTTGCATTTATCTTTTTATGTATGAAAGCAGCAAATACTGGACAGTTCGTTGTCTGTTAACACCTAGGGCTGAAGGAGGAAGGAGCAGCATTTTGTTCAAAGCCATATGTTATGGATAATCAGAGGTTTTCACAGAATACCCTCAGACAATGGAGTCCTGACTCAGTGTGAAAAAAGGAGTTGTTTTCAATTACCACCTGTCAGTTATAGCTATGAAATTAGTTCATGTACAGTTCTCACTGTGTAGCAAATTTCTGATGAATATCTGTCACGCTGGATTGCTTCTGCTAGGAGATGTATGTGCAGACAAAAAGAGCACAATTATTACTGCATCCTGGGAGAAAATTGTTGCACAACTCTGCTACTTGTGTACTGCGGCTGTTTTGGTGGTTAGATATTAATGAAGTTACAAAGCTGTGCTATAATTGAGAACCCAGCTGGATTTTTGCTTAAGTGTTTGTAATACTTGTGATATATTGTTTCTCTCAATTAACACAGCAGATGAAGGAAGCCTGTATTTTTCCAAATCTGTTGGTTTAAGTGGCAAAGTTGCTACATGCTCATTCTCACTGGGTTGGATTTTGTTGTATAGTGGAAACTAAAAACACTTGATTAAGCAGGCGTGTCATGGTGACTATAGTAAATATTTGGTGAAGCATCTGTTATGCTTACCTAAAGGTAGTCAAGTATATTAAATTTTTTGCTCTAGAAAGAAAAACTTAATGAGAGCTACTGTATTTACATATTATATGTATTTCCTTTTTAACTTTACCTGCTGTATTATGGTGCTAGTAAAACTAGGTATATAGTGACCACTTCAAAGAAAAACCTATTGTCTTTTAAGCATTTTGGATCTTAAGTTATATTTTATTGTGCCTTTTTATTTTTTTCTTAAATGGGGATGCCTTTTCTGGTGCAACATATATTTAAAATCCGATGAAAATTAGAAGTGGCAAAATAATGTGTTTTTATGCTGCTTACAACTGCAGAATGTATTTATGATAACTTTTTTTTTTGCAGTTGTACTCGCTAAATGATTATAAGCCACCCATTTCTAAAGCAAAAATGACACAGATCACCAAGGCAGCAATCAAGGCTATAAAGGTAAGAAACTGGCTAACTTCTTTTAATTTCCTTTCTGCTTCTCATCTCTGTCAAAATAACTGAATAGCTTAAAGAACTTGCTGCAGAACTTTCTGCCTCCCTTGTTCTGTGCACAATTTCCAAGTTATGATCAAATGTGGTAGCGATGGGATTTTCAGGAGTGCAACAGAAGGATTAATTTGTTGTGTGACTTGCATTTGCCTGTTGTCATATGTAAGAAAAAAATTATACCAACTTGTCTCTTCAATCAGATCTGAAATACAGGGTCTTTTTCCTCAATTTAAAAAGGAAACGCTGGCATTGACTGAGAACAAATGAATAAACTTAAAACTGCAATTCCCATGCTGCTCCCACCACCCCCACCCCCAAATACAAGATACTTGTGCCTTTGGATCAGTACAGTTGTTTTATTTCATTTTTATAAATTCCTAGCATACGTTTTCATGGGTGTTAATAGATTTTTTTTTTTATGTTGCTTGGATACAAACTGTTCTTAAGCTTTAACATTAGCACACTAATTAAAGACTTTTCTTGCCACAAAATAAAACTAATTGCCAAACAGCAATGGAGCAGCAGAAAACACTATTGAAAAACGATGAAGGAAATAAGTATGATTTTAAGCATTAAAACAAATGGAAGATTAGTGAAAGCTGGAGAGGTGAAAAAGAGGATGGGATAAAAGCAAAAAAGCCATGTGTTTATGCTCTTCCTATCTATATTCCTCTGCTGAGAATGCAGATACTTTTTCAGATAATGAAATCCATATTGATGTTTTGTGTAGTTCGGAGAAAGAGCAGTTTGGTGACAGAAGAATGAAATTCACTGGCTTTCTTAAATAAGAGAAGTCTATGCAAATTAGAGTCTGTGTGTTACAATACAATGAAAATGCTAAATGTGTTGAACTTAAACACATAGTAAATAATAATAAATGGTTCTAGAAATTAAACCATTAAATTATACCAAAATATTGTATCATGTATTTAACTTAGAAATCCTGCTTCCACTTCTGTCGTTTCAGTAACAGTGCTTAATTGTGTAGACCAGTTACTGAGATGATGTAGAACCATTGTGATGATATGTGAGATTAAAAAAAAACCAACCAACAACAGGCATTGTCACATTTTAAAATTTTCTCGTCTATTGAAATGCTGTTTTATTTTCCAGTTCTACAAGCATGTTGTACAGAGTGTTGAGAAATTCATTCAAAAGGTAAGTCAGTCACAGGTATTTTGTGTTAGCACAGAGAAAATGTCCTCATTTTGCATTACAGAGTATTGAAGACCATCAGGCTTTAGGTACACACATGGATTAATATTTTTATCACATGTTAGTTTGTGTCAGGTTTTAGTCACATTCAGTTTCTGCTGGTAATCAGTAACTGATGTTAACCCATGATTCAGAAAGACAAATACTTTGTCCTCATTTTGAAGTTACAATATACTTTGATCTGAATGACTGTGGATACTGTCTTAGGACTACTTCTCTATATGTATTCATTTAATTTTAAAAGAAGCTGGCAGTGTAGCCCTTGTGAACAGCTAACAGGAAAAGAGCTGACAGTGGTTGAGTGAGTAACAGTTGCTTTTGCTTTTCTGCCAGGTTTTAGCATAGCTTTTAAAGCTGAAGGGAGGATGACCGTTCAGCTTCATCTTTTGTGTAGCATGAGATGTAGCATTTCAGTCAGTGGTTCCTGCTAGTAATCTAAACCAAAAAGATTTAAATAGCTAGACTGGAATTGCTTTTTGGGAAGATGCAGTATTAATTTAAATATATGAATAACAAAGAATTTGATTGTGTTTTGTTTTCTTGCAACAGTTAATTATTCTTGGGTAAAACTGCATTTTACCTCCAGTTGGAAATGCATGGATTCCAGTTTGTGAGTCTTTCCTCCTTGTCTGTGTTGTACCTGATTGTTCAGTTGACATTTTGGTACTGATCTCTTCTTTTGTAAATAGGAGTAAATTATGATCAAATTGCCTTTTTATTTTGACGAACAAGCTAGAGAAGTTACTCTGATGTTGCAGTGCTGGATGCAGTTTTTCATCTGTTGTCCATTTTACAAAGCAGACTAGATTGTTCTTTGTCAGTAACCTGTCTTCCTCTTTATCTTTTATTCCTTGGTGCCCAGTGTATGCTGCAGTGCCTTTTGGCAGTGGTTAGACAGTGTAAACGGGGTTCCATTTGAGCCTGGTGTTTTTAACTGTCTCAGAACAGTTCATGAATGAATTACTTAGGTACTAGAACATCAGTCCTATGTGGAAGAGGTGACATATGTGTGTTTCTTGGCAGTTGTGAGGACTAGTGGTGTACTTTACCATCACTGCTAGTGTTTTGTCAAGTAGTTGTCTTTTGGGGCATTGCTTCTGACTTTTTTCAGCCTCTAAGAGAAGGGGTCAGTATCCTCTGATCCCTGTTTAATACTACAGGTGGACATAAAAGTACGAGAGCAGGTTTACCTCTTTCAGTAGCGCTTTCACTTTCATGTCCTGAAATTAATCTGGAATTAGCTGAGTTCCAAATACTGCTTTTTAGTTGCAGTGGCTGGGATTGGCAATTCTGAATTTGGAGAATCGAGAGAAGATTTGTCCTCTGAATGAAAGAGTTTCAGTTGATCAGGAATTGGACTGGTTGTTCATGACCCTTCCACAGGCTACTAAGAGTATGGGTTATCTTCACACGTTCGTGTTCAGCATCCAGTCCTGCTTGATGAGGGAGTTCTGCACTGTTCGTTGCTGGTTAGAAAAGGCAGATGTATATTGATAACGTTGTTAATGATCACTCTGGATTAGTTGTTTCCTTGTGGTGGGCTTGATGTGGTTTTTTTCAGTATTTCATGAACGATACAGTGAAACACACAAATTATTAAGTTCTTATTTTAGTAGAATCTGGGAAAAGCAGATGAAAGGTAGGCATTTGGTGTATATGGACTTAAGTTTTATGTTTGGAAGATAATTGGATTGTTGTTCTGGAAGCAATCACTTCAAGTTAAAGCTCAAGACTACTGAATCTTCCATTAAAATCTGCCATAGACTTGTCCAGAGTAATGCCAGTGCCATCTCAGCTAGTTTAGTGTCAATTCTTTCCTACTCCAATGTTTTCTTTCTTCAGAATTCATCTCATGAGGTTACTGAAACTTCAGGTGAAATAACTGGCTGTGGCACTCTTTGTTTTGTGACTCTTAACTGGCTGGTCTGTTGTGATTTTGGTTGACTGTTTTATTCTCTAGCAAAACATCACTTCAGGTCTAAAATGATCACATTCCATATATGTAACAATATTCCACTGTGACAGCAAGACTTGAATGATTTCTTTGAGTAATTATCTTATTGCTTAGACTTACTCAGAAAATAAGTGAATATTTGTTGTTTAAAAGCTATCTCATCTGAGATTAGAGATCCACAGCTCACTGCCTCTATTGTAATTCTTTATTTAATTTTTTACTTGTATTTTATTTTCTTATAATTTCTTGTAATCTGTATTATTATATTAATTGTAATCTTTTGCTTTCTGTAGCTGGTATGTTTTTAAGTACTCCATCTAGAATATTTGCTCAGTTTTCTTATTAAACCTATGTGGGGTTTGTTAATTTGAATGTTGTGAAAAGTTGTGTACCAGCCTGTTCTATATGCAGAATACTCTTATTTTTTGGTAATAATTTAGCTAAAATTTCAGTAGCTACAATACATTGAAGTGATTACCTAAAGACAGTGTATTATATCCAATTAGATTTTAATTTCATAAGTTTTGTAATGTACATTTATTCTTAAAAGGATGCCACACACATTCTAAAAAATAAAGAATTTCATACTTAAATACACTGAACCATGTTTAGAGCCTAAATAAATCCTTTAACAAGATTGCAAATTTTAGCAAATCAGCACTTCTGAAACGGAAAGCTTGTATCTAGGCTATAATAAAAATAATATCCCAAAGGGTTTGTTTGGCACTGTATTAGAGATTATGAATTTAGCATTATATTGCATAATATGTTTATAGACTACCTGGACTGGAGAGGGAATAGGTGTACTTTCCCACACACTACCTTGTGTGATAAGTATGACAACCGTTATTCATGAAATGAATCCATGTCATAGTATATTCCTGTGATGACTTCTTTACATTTTTATACCACTTTTCATTCTGTGTTAAAGCTGGTTACAGTAGTCTGGTGCAATTACTTTGCAATTAAAAGACAAAAATTTTCGCTTCAATGATTGACTAAGTAAAATTACCTAAGTCATTAGCGTTGTAGTTAGCTTTATAAATACCATGCTGTTTGGAAATTATGCAAGTTTTCCACAGCTTTGAATAAGTATCACCAGTATATTCTCAACCAAACAGATGTCTGTATAAATATATTTTTGTTCTGGCAGGGGGAGAATATACCACACATCAATTACGATGATGTAAAATAAACAAATGTTAACTTTAATGTTGGCTTTGATCATAAAGAAGGGCAAAGATATTTTGAATTATATTTACAGCTAGTCCCAGTGTACTGTTAAGAGTTTGGTCATGGTCTATGTGGTTCTTTTAAAACAGGTGTGTGCATTTTAAAAGGATATTTAGTTCATGTGCTAATTTTTAATAGCTAGATTCTAAAAAGTTAATTTTTTTTAGTGGTGGGAAATTTATTTGAAACCACTTAGATATTTGCAGAATACATATAGATATGATAATCTGAACATTAAAGGTTAGCTATTTCTGAGAGTTTTATTTTTCAGGACAATTTATTAACTAAAAAACATTTTAGTAATACTTTGACCCATTTAAAAATTAGACAGAACTGTTTGTATTTGCTCTGACATTAATGGATTTTGTTAATTTAAAATATGCATATGTAAAAAATATCTTTATTTTGTAGTGCAAGCCAGAATACAAGGTACCTGGTCTGTATGTCATTGACTCCATTGTGAGACAGTCTCGGCATCAGTTTGGACAAGAAAAGGATGTATTTGCTCCAAGATTCAGCAATAACATCATTAGCACTTTCCAGAACTTGTACCGTTGTCCTGGGGATGACAAGGTAAACCACTTATGGATTTTTCTAATTAAAACAATTTTTATTGTGTTATCTATAGCAAATAAAGATTTTGATCTCACTTTCTGTTTGCTAGAGTGGACCTAATTATAGACTTACACATTTATATGTATTTCTTCAAGTTTGCTTGTCTCAGTGTAGGGATGGGGGGAGGACACATCCAATTAGATTAATTAGACTTTTGGAAGGATTTTCAGGAAGACTGGATGGATTCGAGTTAATATATTTTGATGTGGAAAAATTAAGCAGGCATGTGCTAGGACAGGGAGTTGTAGTCAGTCTTTTATTGTCGTCTTACCCTGTTCAGTGAGAAAATGAGCAAGCAGGTTTTATATAGTGTCAAGGAATAAATATCTTTTTTGGTAGCAGTATCTTCAGTACAAGCTAGTTTGTTTTGGACTGAAGGAGGAGTAGAAAAATGGCATATATCCTAAAAATTATATTTCCTTTGATACTGAATCAACCAACAGCTGAGTAAGGCCTGCCTTGAGTAGTTTGACTCAATAGTTCAGCTGTTCCCTTGGACCACAGTACTCAAGATTGCTATCAAATTATCTTTACAATAGGTTGGCTGGAAATAGCAGAGTGCAGGCAGTTTAACTTCCTTCATATTTGTCACTGATCTTATAATATCTAGAGTTTCTTCTTACTGAATTGAAAAATTACAAAAAGATGGGAAATGCTAAGGGCTTTATCTCCACATAAATTTGTGTAATAGAGTTAAGTGAGGTAGTAAGTGAGGCAGGACACTGAAGGAAGAGAGAGACAGGTTATTCTTTCAGTAGTCTCATACATTCCTACAACTGTGTTTTACAACCAAAGATCTGAAAACCCAGGACATCCGTGGAAGGTGATTTGGACAAGTACTCAGTTTGTGTCTGGCTTTAAAGAAAATATATAGTAAATGTATTGTAGGGTAAGAAATAGTGACGCTTACCCTGTGATATTTCAATGCATGGCAACTAATGTATCGCCTTAAAGGTGTTTGATAAGAAGAGGGATAGTAAAGTGTAGTCTGTTTATGGTCTGTAAAGCTCCTATCAGGTTCATCTATAGGATATTTTTCACCTCGGTTAGGGAAGATGTATTGTGCAATCAGAAGTCTGTGTTGCATATGGATTCAGTATTGTAGGAAAGTTTTTCTGCTGTGAAAGTAGTTACCATATATTTGACCCAGCAAAAAATTGTGCTGTCAGAGATACCAAAATATGTACCTGTTTTCTAGCATTTTGATGTTTAATCTGATTGAAAGACATAATGGAGAAACACAACAGTTATCTTTATATGAGCAAATATGGATTTTGGTGTTAAATCAAGCAGAAGTACAGTAGCATTTCATTTAAAGTAACAAAAAACCCCACTGATTCCTTCGTCTGGCTCAGCCATGGAAAATACAAGAGGGGGATGGATACTGAGGTGCAGAAATAGTTTTATATTCCTTTTCTGGATAGAAGAGGGAAGTTAGCCTCTGATGGACTTGTCAAGAACTGCCTTATAAAACAGACTTTCAAAGAAGAATGGCTCACATACTGTAATGCTGAATGGAAGCCTTCAGAGATTTATTTAAAGGAACTCTAAATTACATCTTTCATGCAGTGAAAATTCAGCACTTCTATTTAAGTTAAGTCTCCTCTTGTAATTCTGGGCAAACAGACTTTTGTTTTTGGTTTAAACACTGTGGTTCAGTATTCTATGTTCATGGTTTATAGAATTTAAATAATTACACCATCTTCATGACAGCAAACACAAGATCCTATTAAGAACTTTCTGCTCTTCATAATACAAGTAACTTTTCTGTGTTTTTTCCAAATAGGCAAGGTGTTTTTCTACCACACATTGCTATTCCATTTTTCAAAATAGAGCAAAACCTTGCCTTTTTGTAGAAGTGAAGCTTAGAAAACATTTGGGAGCAGATCAAAACAGTGAAATAGAAATTTAATAGAAATGCAAGCTGAACAATGAGTTCCATCTAATGGAATTGTATGAAGTCTTAATTTTGTTTTTTTTCCTCCCCTATGATTCACGTTTTTTAATATTACTATGTAATTTCAATAGAGAGGGAATTGTGTTCCATTTCGAACTTCTAAATTCCTCACTTCATCAAGAGAGCTTGCAAAGTATTGAGCTAGTTTCCTAATAAAAGTATTTAGCAGTCTTATTAGTATATGCCCATTTTTCAGTGGACATAAATAATTTTGGTTCATAGGTAGATCAGAACTGCGTTCATATATGTTGACTATAGAAGTTTAGGAGACTAATAATTTCTTGTTTTAATTACTAGTAATGCTTTAAGATGCCTTCTTAAGATAATTTTCCTTCCATGCGTTCTTCTGAGAGTAAAGGTACAAGAAAGCCCAGACACATTTGTTTAATTTTGTTTTGTTTTAATATATTTTGTTTTCTGTTGAGAGAAGACTCTCACTATGTGCATAGTGTTCCTTTACTGTTACCTAGGGTCAGTCTCAGGTTCATAGCTTAGACATCTTTGGTGTGACCCAGTATAACTGTTCTTATGGTTCTTACAGTTTGTAAACCTAAAGCTTCTTCAATGTAGACAGATTGACGTGGCTAGTTAACAATTCCATAATTGATAATAACAAAAAAGATAAGCGTGACTATAGGTCTTTTGTTTTCCTTTCTTTGTTTTAGAGCAAAATTGTTAGAGTGCTAAATTTATGGCAGAAGAATAATGTGTTCAAGAGTGAAATTATTCAGCCTCTCTTGGATATGGCAGCAGGCATTCCTCCTCCAGTTGTGACCCCTGTCTTGCCCAGCACTACAGCTGCTACTAGCAACAATACACCAGGTAAACAAAACCAGGTTAAAATCATACTTTTGAATCAAAACACTTGTATCAACTTTGGTATGTTGGCTGTTAATATGCTGAAAAATGTCATTGGTTTCCTTTAGACAAATCTGCTAGAAAGAAATATAGCTTACATCTAGATAAGGGAAACAGCAAAAACAAGAGGCAGTCTGTTGTGTTTACTTTCCGACTGTATATTATATTCAGGCTGAGTAACAGTGCAGTAAGACCTAGCTTGGCATTCAAAAGTTAAAACAGTGATTGTCTTTTAAAGCAGTAATCTAGTAATTTACATTTAGTGCTCATCGGTGTATCTCTACTTCTGAGTTAAAAGCAGGAGTATTTGCGGGGATGGAGGATTCTTACGGCATGAAACTAATTATCAGATTGCTGATTTAGTCTCAATGTTCCTCTTGAGAAAAAATTATAAAAAGGGCAATCCTCATGAATCCAGCTGCTACATACAGGTTGAAGTTTTTAGTAGAATCTTTAAAGTTCCTGCTGGGGATAAAGTGCAAGTCCAGTAAGTTCTGGACTGACAGACATTTCTGAGTAGATTGCTAACAATTATAATTTGGAATAATAGAATCATTTGCATTGGAAAAGACCTTTAAGTCCAACTGTTAACCTGACACTGCCAAATCCACAACTAAACCATGTCCCTAAGGGCCACACCTACACATCTTTTAAATACTTCCAGGGATGGTGACTCAGCCACTTCCCTGGGCAGCCCATTCCAATGCTTAATAACCCTTTTTTGGTGGTGAAATATTTCCTCATATCCAATCTGAACCTCCCCTGGTGCAACTTGAGGCCGTTTCCTCTCGTCCTATTACTTGTTACTTGGGAGAAGAGACATGTTAAGAGATGTTAATACAGTGTTTTTTCAATATTTAATAACAGCAGTTTTTTTTTTTCTTTTTGTAACATTATTTATAAGTCTATATGTTAAAATATTTGGTATATTGGATTTTCTCTTTTTTAGGAACACCTGTGACTCCAGTTACTCCAGCCAATGTGGTACAGAGTTTACCTGATCCTTGGGTATCTCAGATTGCTAATACAGATACCCTTGCTGCTGTTGCACAGATTTTACAGAGTCCTCAAGGCCAGCAGGTAAATATTTTATAGACAGTTACACTGTACGCTGTTTGATACTTTGTCTTTAAAGTACACTTAAGGAGTACTGTTTTTATCAGTGTCTTTTAGTTTTGTGTCCAGTATCGATGTTAACTATCACATAAGTTTGTTCATCACAAGTAAGTTCCAGGTAAGATAAGACTTCCTGTTACCTTTTATAACCAACCTTGTTTTTTCCTTAAAAGTATTGCAGAATGTGATTTGAGATAAGATGGTCTGTAATACATACTTTTCTATATAGTAGAATATAGGATATAGGTATAAAATAGAATGCCAGTTTAAGCATATTTCTCTGCTGGATGCCCCAAGAAGCTAGACATTGTACAGGATTATGTAATGGGAGTGTACTCATTCTGGAAGTACATTGTGTGTTGATTCTCTTTATTTTTCCGTCAGCTAATATAATTTTATTTTGAAGCAATCAAAAATAATGTCTTAGAAGTGACTGTGTTCCTCAGTTTCTGAACGCTCAACTCCAAAAAAGTGGTTTGATGTGCAGCATGCAGTGAACTGCTTGTCCTCTTAGCCCGCAGCCGCATAACTTGAGCACACACAATGGGCTTTCTGTGAAAATGTAGATGATAATTTTTCAGTTTATGCTAGAACTGTGGCACCAGCATAACTTCGGCATTGTGATTTTTATTTGCACTGAAGAATAGGATATTTTACCTGCTGGGGTACTAAACAAAAATCCTATGCATATGAATGAGAAGCAGTCACCAGTGAGCTATTGCAAAGCACCAGTGCTGACAGTAATGACTTTGCTTAGTGAGGTTGTTTCACAGTGTTCAGCTAAGCAGTCATTTGTTCATAAGTCAAGCAGAGGGGGTATTTTCATCTTATTACACTCAAAGAAACTGATACGTCATTGAAAAGCAGAGCAAAATGAGTTTGTGGGATACTTTATGAAATAGCTCTAAAACAAGGAAGGTTTGTGTAAAGGTTATGATCTAGAGAGTATTCTAAAAAAAGGATAAAAAAAAGATTATGAAGACGTGAAAGGAATTAGAGTTTTAAAGACAGCAGATCACAAAGAAATAACATTTGGATATTTAGCTCAAAATGATAAAATGAGGAAGATAATGGATTTTGGGAGAGAGAGAAGAGGGTCTGAAGCAGAAGTGTGGAGACAGATTGGGTACACAGTAAATACTTACATGCAGATCTCTAGGACTGCGAGATGAACTGCAACATTTGTTTCCAAGCTGTCCATCTCTTTTCTTCCTGTTTTCCAAGCCACTTCACCTCCCACCCACCTCCAAGCTCCGAAGTCCTTGATTTCATCTTAAGATCGTGTTTTATGTGTGAGAATGCATGCAGGGGGTCTAGAATTGAGAGTCTAGACATAGGACAAGGCAGAGTAAGGAAGATGTGACCAACAAGAATGTGAAAACAGCTAGAAAAGTGACCACTCAGGATTTCCCCACTCTAGGACTTCCATCTCTGCTTCTTCAGTTTCATTCCTTCCTACTCAAAGCAATGCACAAGGTGAACCAGCCATATTTGCTCATCTTTTGTGGATCAGCCAAGAAAGGAGGGGGGAGCTCTTCAGCTTTGCCTATTGCAGTAATCAGTGGCAGCTCTTTGTGAGGTAGAACCATAAATTGAAGCATTTTCAGAGCCTCTGCTATATAAGGAGTCTGTATAACTATCGTTAAAGAATAGAAAGAGTTGTTTCACATTATCAGAAGATAACTCTACAACAGTCTTGAGAAAGGATCATACATTTTTGATGCATTGTGGAAAAGAAGATCAACCTAATCAGCTTATGCAGAGTTTCTATTGAGCTACAGTAAGAAAGAAGGGATTGAACCCTGTGAGAGTTCAGTGGTGAACCCCATGAGGATGTGCAATATGAACATAAACATAATCAGGGACTTACATCAGCACAATTTGTACTACCTGGATTTGCTCAGCCTTTTTTCCAGAAATACCCAAAGATAACCCTCCAGGGGTTTACCTCATGGAAAGTCCTCTAATTCAACGGTACTTCAAGAGGGCGTCTTTCCATAGGTGATGGAATTTTTTTCCTTTTGCGCTGAAGTAATTTTATGGGAGCATCTCTCTTCAACAGAGGAATAGATCTGCACGTGAAAAAGCCTTTTATTTCCTCATTGGGACAGCTCCTTTTAAAAAATTGGAGTAAGGAAATCAAGATACACCAGACAAAAGGATTGTGCATTTGTTCTAAAGAAAAACAGAGTATCTTCCAGGTTTTTTTAATTTTCTTCCTGTAGATATGAAGGAAGAGACTCTTAGGGTATCCTGATACACTCTGATGAAATGTCTTTAGGTCCATTCACTACAATTTTGAAAGTTCCTTTTCTGATAATGTTGCTACTCATTCCAGTATAAACCCTAGACCTCTCCTGGGTTGTGGAGTAGAGTTTAAACAAAAAAACAAACCACCCCCCCAAAACTATTTTAAAATAATATTTGAAACACCCAGTACTATTTTTAACTAACACTTTTTAACATCTGTTTTCTGCCATCTCCCGTACCTTGTTGTTACTGTACATCTGTTGCCCCAGCGCTGCTGCTTCTGGTTTAACATTGCATCTAGGCAATTTTCATCCGAAGATGGTGCTATACAGAGCCCAGAGTCTGTGCCATTGCAGGAAGTCAAATTATATTCCCAGTTTGTCGTTAATTTGCTTTTTATGTTTTGTTAACATAGCAAGGGAATTTTATTCTGTCAGCACAAATCTGAGTTTCAGTGTGAGATTTTCCTTGTGACTAATCCAGAGACACTACTGGAGGCTCTTCATATAGACATGTTGCATCGGCTTGAAGTGGAGCTTGCAACAGTGCAGTTACTTTTTCTACACAAACATTACAGCACACAGATTTTCCTAATATAGGTGGGCCCTTAGGAAGCTGGAGTAGGCTAACAGATTTTTTTCAGGTCAGAAGGAATCAAACTGGAGAAACAGAAGAGGGGGAACCCTAGAAAGCAGGAAATTCTCAGTGGTGACTGGTCATCGTGCAGCCTGTCAGAGCAAGTTAGGAGGAAGAAGCATCTGCATGTCTTACCAGCCACAGAAAACAAATTAGCCAGTAAGTGGGAACAAAATTTGCCGTAAATGAAAACAAAGTAAGATGAAATAATAGCCATAGGTTAGATAGTACTGCATTCCTGAGGTTGGTTTGTTTCCTAATTGGAAAGGGAAAAGACTAGTTTGTTCTTTGCTTTTTTGTTTTTTTTTTAAATTATTGTTTAAAGTATTTATTATGTTTTCTCTTTTAGCTTCAGCAGTTGATACAGACACTGCAGATACAGCAGCAAAAACCTCAGCCTTCACTACTTCAAGCCCTGGATGCTGGTCTTGTCGTTCAGTTACAGGCCCTCACAGCACAACTTACAGCTGCAGCTGCTGCTGCTAACACACTTAATCCACTGGAACAGAGTGTCTCTTTTAATAAGGTAGAAGTAGAATAATAGAAGTTTGAATAAATATTTATTGTTAAAATATATGTAAGTGAAAGAATCTTCTTATGGATTTTATGGTTTGTCTTTAGAGATTTTAAAAATACATGAATATACTATAAAGTATTCTATCTTGAAAATTTTTTTAAAATGTCTAGAGAGAGTAATGTAAATGAAATTATTAGTTTTATATGAGTTTAGGGCTAAATGGCATTTCATAGAATATCTTGTGTTGGAAAGGACGCATAACGGTCATCGAGTGTGAAGATAGATTTGATTTAGCGAAGTTAAGACATTGATGTAACAATTAAGGGCTTTTCTTCACCCTTTGTATTTCCCCTTCCTGTGTTTATGACCTGAGGTAGGAAGTTATTTCTTACAAGGTAATGAAAGGAAAATGTGCAGAAATTTATATACACTGTTTCCCCAGAATAAGATGTTATTGGACTTGTAATTTTCTTACATTATAAATGCCAAGAAAACTTCTAATCTTAGCCACAAAGTGAGAGTAAGTGAAGAAGTAAATTTATGACTGTAGTTAAAACTAGTCATGTGACACTTCTTAAAGATGTCAAAATATAAAACCAAGCCCTGTAGGTAAAGAAACTTGGTGTGTTTTGCAACATATGTGCCTATCTTTAAAAAAAAAAGTTTAAAATGCGGAATGTAGGAATTTAAGAAGACTAATAATAGTTGAATGCCAGGTAGCAATAACCATGCTGGCAATTACAGCAGTCATAGTATAATATCAGTAGAATAAAAAAGGAAGAACTTCTACTCAGAGATTAAAAAATAAATTAAAAAATCTTCTTCCAGTATCTTTGGAAGAAACAGCTTGTGAGTATATAACCTCTGTAGGATTGTCCTGGAGTGAATAAATAATAAGAATAAGGATGTCAGAGAAGCAAAAAACTGTCTTTTGTATTTTTTTTTTTCCCCTAACCCAAATAATCTCTCTTTTAGTGAAATAGATGCTCAGAACTTGGCTAGTGCTGAGTTTCAAGTTTTAGGACAAATTATCTTATATTTCTAGAATTTGCTCAGGTAAACTCAGATTTCTGAATAATAGAGAGTTGTCATTACTAATGAAGTAATGCAGCTGTAAAAATAAGTCAGGAGAAAAGTGGCCTGTACTCATGCTGTATCACAGCTGTAACTATCAACTTGAGTGGAGTATAATCACAGGGAATGAATGCATCAGTTAATAGGGACTGCCGTAATGGTTAGATACAAAAAGTAATTAAGAATACGACTTTGTATTGTGGTTTTATTCCACAGACTTCAATTCCAGCATTTGTATAGTAGGTATATTTGTAGGTGTGACTGTTTTGAATGTTGGACTACTTAACTGGAGCAAATTGAGGGAACTGGCATTCTGGTGAAATGTTTATATACCGTCAGTGCCCTAAGCCTGATGCTCGTTAGTTAGTTTATACCAGTAATATTACGCAGGAGTCTTGTTGTCATGAGAGTTGTCAGCAGAGTGAATGTACATGATTATGATTTTTGGGACTGTGAAGGTAAGTGTTGTGGAAGGAGTTCTTGTGGCAGTGTGACAGTTTACAAAATTTCAGTAGATTGTGTTGATGTGTTCTTGTAAGCTGTGCAAGAATTGTGTTTATACGATGTGATCTGTAGCTCAATTCTGCATTATACAAGTAGTGGTAGATTATAATACATCTTAATTTCCTTGTTCAGTGTCCTCAGCATCTCTATGAATGAATTGATAGTGTGTGTCTTGTTAGTCTGTTGAGGCTTTTACTCAAAGGTTATTTAGGCTGCTTTGCAGAAGTATCGTGTTGTTTAAGAATTTCCTTTTTTTTTTTTAATATAATGTTGATGCCACCATACCTATTTTCTCCTTTTTCCAAAGTTTGAGGATTTCTGAATCTAGGTATTATAGAAGAGTACATATTAGTATATATGTATTAATGGGCAGTTTTATTTTTTGTAATGATAAGTTTTGGGGATGATGATTTTCATTGTTTTTTTAAAGTTTCTTAACCCCAGTATCACCTGCAACCCAAATCCCACTTCTCAGTAGCTGAAGACCATAAGTCATAATTAAATAATTCTACTTGTTAGACTCTTTACTTCCATTTTATTGTATAATTAATTGTATAATTTTTTTACTAGACATGGCACCCTTAATGAAAAAAACTGTTAAAAACTTTCATAGGAAGCATCTACATCAGTGTTTTAGTTTGAATCAGGAGCATGCTTTTGAGCTGAAATTTTTGATTGTTTACATGTACCACACATCATTTCACACTGCAGAGCAATCTTGGGTGCATAAAGTAGATTCATTTGGATTAAGCTAAAGCAAAGATACCCTGCAGCTGCTAATGAGCACTCAGTCGACAGGGCCAGACTGGAGTGGCTTCAAAATAACTAGTAACAAAGTCCAAATAGCATGTCCAAATAAAATAAAACAAAAAATATAATCCAGGTTTTCTTAAGAGGAAAAGTTTTGGTTATGCTTTGCTTCCTGACAACAAAATCTAGATCTCTGTTAGTGATCTTCCAGGATGCTCTGAAGTTCTAGGGTGGTTGTATGCGTTTTAGAGAGCTTGCAATAGTTATTTTTAGCACAGAATGCCTGAGTTGCAGGTGACTATACTGTTAAAGATACAAATATCAAAAACCAAGGTGTCAGAACAGTACAATGAACAGCCTTTGTTTCACTCTGAGACATTTGCTTGATCTCTGGGTTCTCTTCTTTAAGAAAGTTGTTAACAAGTATACTTAGAACAACAGCAAGTGAGCCAGCTGAGTGCCCTGGCAGCAAAGAGGGCCACCAGCATCCTGGGCTGTGTGAACAGGAGCATAGCCAGGTAATTGATGGAAATGATCATCCCATCTAGACATCCCATCTATTCTAGACTGCATCTGGAGTATCACATCTAGTTTTGCTGCCCCCGCCCTCATACAGGAAAGACTGACAGACTGCATCTGGAGTATCACATCTAGTTTTACTGCCCCTGCCCTCATACAGGAAAGACTGACGAACTGGAGTGAGTTCAGTGGAGGACCACCAAAATGGTCAGGGCTGGAGCACTCACCCTCTGAGGGACTGGAGCTGGTTCAGCCTGGGGCAGAGGCATCTTTGGGGGCGATATAACAGCAGTCCCCCCAGCACCTACAGGAAGGTCAGGAAGAAGATTAAGCCAGGCTTTTCACAGCATGGGATAGCAGCAGGATTATTGAAGTGCAGAAATTGAAATGAAGGGGTTCGGAGTGGGTATAAGGAAAACCTTCTTTCCCCCATGAGGACAATCAAGCACTGGAACAGGGCAGAAGAGATACTGTCATCTAGTAGAAACTGATAAAGTGTTCTTACCTGAGGTACAGAGACCAGTTCTGAGCATCTTAAAAAAGCCATGGCAGCAAAATCAGAGAATCTAGCAATCCCTGAAAGCAATAATTAGAAATACTGAGTAGTCTCTGTAGAAGATAGTGAACAGACTTTTGATGAAGTTTAAAGAATGGAGGATGGGGACACGATGTGGATATAGAAATACTTACATGGTTGAAGGCAGTGTCCAAAAGGCAAATGTTCTGAGTTGGCAGACATGACAAAAGGACAGTTTTTATGATAAATAAACAGTAAGCATCGTGATACAAAGAAAACTGTGAGGCTTAGTTCTCATTCTATGATATGATGATGGTGAATTGGTAACAAATATAAATAGTGCAGGAAAAGATGTCTGATGAATACATAAGTATCCATCTTTTTTTGAAAAATCCTTGTTTTTAATAAGTTTGGCAGTTCTTCCAAACCTTTGTTTTCAAGCTTTTCAGTCTCTGTAATATCTTGTGGTAATAAGTTGTGTGAATTAATATGCATTACATGAAGAATTCCTTTCTTTTGTCAGTATTACATATGCATGTTTTTTAATCTTGCTACATGACCTGCATCCTTGTGTTGTGGTAAAAGATATTATTTTGATCAACATTTCCTATACCTTTATGTTCTATTCCTTTAATTTCTAATGAGAATATACTGATCCTTAAGAAGAATTTTTTTTCCTTTGGAATAAAAAGCTTTTTTCATGTCTTTAATCATTCTCATTGCTTTTTCTGAACTTATTATCTTCTTAGGTAGTTAAAGTAACAGGTATAGCATTCATGGAAAGATCTATACTTTTATATGCAAGTGTATGGAGGGTTAACCTAGGTATCCTAATATTTAATTTGTTTTAATTTCTATTGCTTTATTGTAGAGAGTATTGTTACAATTTATTTAAAAATCAAGATATTTCAGTTCAGATTTTTTCCTTTTAATATCTACAATGTTATTTAAAACAAACAAAAATCATGCTGTACATTTGCCTATCGTGGCTTGGAAGTTCTTTGGTTTTCTATGACCGCAGTTTGACTATCTTGAGTGTCGTAAATTGTTGCCTGCTTGCCATTTGTTTCTTTTTGCAGATGATTAAATAGTGCGTATTCTGTTACCTTCCTTTCTACTTTGTCATGATGGGAGATAGATGATGATTAGTAATATTTAAAAGATGAGACTGATTATTTTTCTGAAATGCATATTTTATTTCAGAGCAGCAAAATCCTGCTTTCATATATATTAGATCATTTTGTTGGGAAGATAGTTCTAACAATTCTTGATTGAACAATCCCTTAGTTAGCCTATGCTTTGCTCTTCTTGCTGGGCTCCAGTAATTCGGAGTAAGTAGAGCATCCTGAGAATGAAAATGGGCCACTGAATCATCATGGCTTGTTACTGGAGATATTTTTGCCTTGGTATTTAAAAGTGACTTGCCCTATGTTCTCATCCTCTTCTTTTTTTTCTTCTGAGACCAAGGTTTGAGAAGTTATCGCAGTTTGTAGTACAGCATTAACTCTGCTTTTCAGAAAACTTCCAAAGTGTAAAGATGCAGGGACATGGATTTAATAGCACTGCTCTATTAATGCATAGTTACTGAAAAAAGACAATCCAGTGACAAATAACGTTTTTAAGGCTTGTTTTTTTAGTTTTGTCTTCAATAAAGTAAAATGCTACTGTAATGCTTCTGGGCTGTTTAAAAATTAATTAAAAAAAGCAAACTTTGTTTTGTTCAGTGGAACTACAGCTTAGGCGTCTTTACAGATGAAACAGGAAGTTTATCCAAGTTTTTCTTTTTTCCTGTCAGATACCTTTCTTTTTATCCCTCTGGAGCCTTATTCCTCTTACATGATAACTGCTTGCTTTGATTTTTTGCAGACTATGTGAGAAGTTGTTTTCAAGGAGCAGTATGTTTGAAGGAGTTCAGGTTGTCTAAATGACGTGTGTGTGAAAATACAGTAAATCTTTGCGAAGTAATCAAGCTGTAGGTCTTCTCTTGATATGAGCAGAGCAGTTTGCTGATTGCCAAAGGATTGAATAGTTGGCCTCTTCGTAGTAATTTCTTCTAACTAAAGGTACCATTACATAAAATTAACCTTTGTTTAAGCCTTCCTCCAAGCTAGCTGTTATTTACTATGGAAAGAACATGTGGTTGTATTTGTAACAGCAGCCAGAGCTCCAGAAAGCCATGGACAAAATTTGGTGTTTGATGCTTTCAAGAGTTTGGTAGCAATAGCAATATGACATTTCATTTTCTGTTCAGGTTATTTGTCAAACTTTCTTTTTTTTTAAGTTGAGAAAGCAGACTGTTTTTCTTTTGAAAAGTAAATATACATAAAGGGATGTATAAGGAGTACTCAGTAATGCTTATTTTGCTTTCTCCTAGAAGCTGATGGACAGGTTTGACTTTGGGGAAGAATCTGAACAAAATGAAGAGCCTAAAAAGGAAACTCCTACTTCCCAACTGTAAGATCAAGCTATGTTTCTTATGGAAAATGCTAGAATTTGCCTGATGCTAATTGAACTTTAAATAGTACGGAAAATGTTTCTTTCAGAACATAAGTATACTAAAGCAGTAGGAAGAGAAAAGACAGTTTACTAAATTAATGAAACATATACATTTAAAAGGTATTTAGTATAAGTCTGTGTGCTGGAAGTTTTGTTGACTTCATCTTAAACTTAGCACATTCTTTGCTTTGTTCTATTCATAGTGTTAATGCGATAATGATGGTAACAGAAGGTAGAACTAACTTCATCGCTTCATTATTTTACATTTTTAGTTAAACTTGAAACTCAGTTATGAAGACCTGTTTACCAGCTGTTTAAATGAAGAGGAAAAACCGTTGTGTTTTTTTTATTTTAATTATTTCATTTTAGGCCTTTAGTACCAGAATCTGTGAACAACTCACTTTTTCACCAACTAGCTGAACAGCTGCAGCAACAAAATTTAGAACATCTCAGACAACAGCTTTTGGAGCAACAGCAGCCTCAAAAGGTAAGAACTCCATCTTGTGGCTGTCAGAACAATTATGTTCTCCACTGATAAAAAAATTCATACTCCAGGACAAAAGAATTCTTTTTACTGACACGTCTTACAATGAAAGTCTTTGTCACTAGCTGATCATCTAAGAGAAGCTTGCAGAGTAAGTGGAATAAGCGGGAGAAAGTGCTTAAAGCAGAAAAAAAAAATATAACCAAATGTGTGGGCTGTACATTTTGCTTCTCTTAGGAGAGAGTACCCTTTAGCTGAGTTACAGACTTGACTGTGCTTTGGTTGTTCAGCTCTTTATATGGGGAAAAAGAGCTTTTTCCCTGCTGTCAGAGGGAAGAAGGTGATCATTGAAGTGATTATGCTCCTGTCTGTCAAGGGTGAGCAGTGTGCAAGCTACTGCTGCAGAACCATCAAGAGGACAGAATAGAGATCGTGGATAGCTTTAATTTCCCCTACCAAGCTTTAAATCTTGGTAATAAATGTCTCATTCTTTTGAAGAATCTGAGATAAAGAATAGAGTCAGGTATTTCCTGAGAAGTGATTAATTGAGAACTGATGATCAAGACAACACAAGATTCCTTCTTAACTATGTGAATTGGGTTCTCTCTATGCTACACTGAAGTAAATTGGCTTATTTCTTCTGAGTTTAGTCCTTGGTATTTAGCTGTTCTTTTCCCCTCCTGATCCCAGTTCCTGATGGCATTAGAAAAAAAAAAAGTTTATTCTGTCTTGATACTGACCAGATATAAAGTGGAATTTCGGTGAAATATTTGGATCTAGTTTCACAGTAAAATAGAGATCTTAGATTGAAAGAAAATACGAGAGACCACAAGCTTAACAAATTTCTGTTGAGGAATTTAGTTTAATCTGTACAAAGGCGCAGTTGCTCAGCTTTCAATCAAGAACATCATTTCAGTTTAGAATTTTGAGTTTGAGTTTTTAATTGCTTAGAAAAAATAATCCTTTCTAGATATTATTTTCTTATTCTACTGCTTTATTTTACTCTGTTTTATTTTCATTTCTCATTGAAGTGCAGTGAGTGAGGATGTTTGTACAACATAGCTACAGACTAAATAGTTTTTGGTGTTGATAGATATCTAGCAATTTCTGACTTTAAAAAAATGAATATAACTTCAAATTATGCATTTTTGGTGTTTTTTCAGAACTATGTGTTTTGTTAGGTCTCATAATTGTCATGCTGACATAACTGACACAACATGCTCCCTTATCTTGTAGTAATTACTTGTCTTAAATCACCCACTGTAAGAAAGTTTTTAGCTAAATGTAAATTTTTTAACAAGTCTAATTGGTATTGCATAAATTTCCATTATATTAATAACAAAATATGATTTACTAATGCATGTGCGTGGGTGACCAATGGGTATCTTTCAGTGTCACTGAGTATATTGCTGCCATCACTGTTGTTTGTCCTGTGAGTTTTTATTTCCACGCCAGCCAAATTAAACAACAAATGGGGTGCTTTGTCTTTTTGTGATTCAGCAAATAGACAGTGAGTTTTTTGTAGTCAGGAATATTAATGATTTCAAAGTTTTGTATTTAAGGATGGCACAAAAAAAAAGGAATGGAACCGAGTGACGTCTAGTTCAGCTTTCACATTGGTAGGAAGTGGAAAAATAGGAGAAACTTGTTTTCAGAGATATTTGAACAATTGTTTGTTGTATTACATTTTGGTACTGTAAACATTTTGATGATATATTGTTGTGTTATTTAGGCAAGCCCTGAGGAGAATCAAGAAGGAAATTTTGGTTCAGAGCACTCTGCCTCACCATCACAAGGGAGTAGTCAGCAGCAGTTTTTAGAAGTGGAAACAAATGTAGATGATTCAATGGATATTCAACAACAGGTAAAACCTATTTTAAATTTGATTACAGAAGTTGAAAGGAAAACACATACTAAGATGATTTCAAAATAAGTAATGTGGATGAATGCTTTCATACAGTCATATATATTGTGAGTATATTTATTAAATGTTATTGAACATTTGTTATGTCTGACCTCAGGACATGGATATAGATGAAGGACAGGATGTTGCTGAAGAAATTTTTGAACAAGAAGAAAAGAAATCAGCTGTTCGTTCAAGATCAAGAACTCGTTCAAGATCTCGTTCAAGGTTTCCTTATTAACTTCTATTAAGTAAATGAAGTGTATTAAGTAAACAGTAAAATGTTCTGAAACAAAGTTGCAAGTTGTGATTATCATTCTCAGTTTTGTATTTTCCAAAATTGCCATGAGCAGTTTTTGTCAATGAAAAAAAAGTGTTCATTTAATATTTGTGTGTTAGATGCAGACTTTCTGTATGACAGTTCTTTTTGATTGTTGGTGGTCTACTTTAAATTTTTTAAGACGTGTTCAGGTAACAAAAATAACTAACGCTAGCAGCTAGTTAAGGTTTTCTATGCCAGAAAAATAGATACCATTACGGAACACTTTGGATGTGTTTTGTTTGGTTTTAAGCTCAAGGTGAATATTCTATTCCTCACAGTAATAACGTTAAGTTTATTTCCTGATGTATTTTGAGTGAATGTGATAGAAATGGCTATATGTGCTTCAAGTTTGTAGTTAAAATACAACTAAATCAGATTTTTTTTAACTTGGCATACTGAATTTTTTTTTTTTTTTAATAGGTCACCAAGAAAACGAAGGTCTAGATCACGGTCTGGTTCTCGTAAGCGTAAACACAGAAAACGTTCACGGTCGAGATCAAGAGAAAGGAAGAGAAAGTCGTCTCGGTCATATTCCAGTGAAAGAAGGGCTAGGGAAAGGGAAAAAGAGCGTCAGAAAAAGGGATTGCCTCCTATACGGTCAAAAACACTTAGTGGTAAGTGGCAGCTGATTACTGTTTCAATAATGTAGTATTAAAGGGAATAAAGATGTTTTTCTTTGGGAGAACAAGATTTAGCTTGAGTACTGTTACAAAATACAGTAACCGTAATCTTTTTTATAAGTTTAATTTCTGGTGTTTCTTACCACTTAGGTACATCGTTTTATCTTGGAGGGAAAGCAAGAGTTATATTGTTCTACTGATGATTTTACTCATAGTGTTGCACCACTGATTTTACTTCTGAACAGAGTGTAGCAAGGGCTGTCCCTAAGTTACAATCTGCTTTCTCTTTAATGCTGTCTCCTATGGGGCATTTGAAGATGATCAGCACTTAATCTGAAAATTGGTACACTGATAAGACTGTGTGGCTGTGCACTGTTGTTGTTTCTACAGAGAATCTACATACTGAAACAGAGGAAGGTAGCAAGACGAAGAACTTTCTTCACACGGTTGCCTAATCAAAGGGAATATGTATTGAGATGAGCACTAGAGACAGTGAAATCGGATGTAGTTATCTGCTACTGTATCAGTATATCCCATTGCTGCTGTTAGCAGGACTCCAGATTCTTGGGATGTGTAACTGAATTTAATTTATTTTTGTAATTAATTTGTGTCCCCCAATTTAACTTTGTTTAGATAGTTTATACACAATTTCTGATGTAGTTTTGCATTTATTTTGTGGTTTAAAGCTGTATCTTTTATCTGGCAAGTTAAGCAGTTCAAAATTCATTTTTGCAAAGGAGAGAGTGTTCTGTTCTCTTCACATTTTATGTCATTCCAAGGTGGCTTTAAACTCAGGAGTTTACAAGAGTTTAGATTTATATTTTTCTTGAGTGTCTTTTCACATGAAAAAAGGCAAATCCATTTTATGGTGTAGATTTCTCCTAGTTGTCCACAAAGCAGGAAGCTGTGATCAAAACAGATAGGAAGTGGGAGGCAGGGATATTAAGTATCCTGATGAACAACAACGGTTGTTGAGATCTTTTCAAAGCAACCCGGCTCATGGAAAGGAGATATTAAGAAGGCTAAGTGAAGTGTGGAACTTTTGGGGAGGGTAAATACATAAATAAATAGGTATTTCACCTGACAAACATTTTACTTCATGGAATTTGTTCAGTGACAGCAGTTGTTACCACTTGCTGAGGTCTGAAGAATTGTTTTGCGGAGCTTAACACCATGAGAAACAAAAGAGACATCTACAAGCATGTGAGGAACAACTTGTCTAAGAGTAATCTTAAGGCTAGTCGTTCTCAGTACTGGAGTACTGCTGTAGATTGAAAATGTCAATTGACAGAGGAACACCCAACACGGGTTTCCAGTTTGGTGCCCCAAGATTGATATAGGAAGGATGTCTGATGTATCAAGATGATGATGATGAAGAAATAATGTTTCCTTGGTTCAGGGTGGGGCAGGCTCAAGAGACCCAAGTTGTCTGGTTTTGTTCTGCCTTAGACCCTTTAAGATCCTGGGTGGGTTACTCCGGGTAGTAAGATATGAGAGGAAAACCACCAATATTGGCCTTATTTCTGCCTGTTTTAGATCACCCTATGTTAGGTGGAAATAGCTGCTATGAGTTTGTCAAGGCTTGCACCACATAGATTGGGTAATACTTGGAAGGTAAAAGATTTGGAACTGTGTGCATATAGAAGGAATTTCAAGCTGACATGTCAGTGACTGTATTTGGCAAGAGGGACAGCAGTGGGCATTTAGGAGCCACATTGCAGGGATTTGGGCTTGTGAGGGGATTGACAAGAGTCAGAAGTATCACAGACATCTTCAGCTCAGTGCTGAGCTTTAGCCAAATTTGTCTTTCTGGGATGTCACCTACCATAAAGTACAAGTATAGTTTCCATTTCTTTCATGTGAAAATGCCGTGCATAATGCTGCACTTAAGTTCCTTCTGTAATACACTTCTACTCAGTTGGAACTTGATCTTTGTTAAAACTGACTTTAAATCCTACAGGAGTGTTTTTTTATGGAATGTGGAATAGAAATCATTATTAGTAACTTGTTAGCTAAGGTAAACTGCAGTAGAATCTACAGAATTCTATTTTTTTCATTTCTTTTAAAACAACTATTTTGTTTAAAAGAAAATGAAACGAAGAATGAACACTTGTACTGAACATGGTTGGTGTCTTAATGTTTTAACATTTTTGTTAATGTACTTAATCTGGATGTAGTAAGTAATAGATTTGCTGTTCTTGCTTTTTGATCAGTGATCTCTGTGCAGTTGTAAAGCCTTTTATATCCATGCTACAGAGTATTTTATAAGCTAACATTCTAGTATTTTGATTGACATCAATGTGTCTCTTGACAGTTTGCAGCACTACTCTTTGGGTAGGTCAAGTAGACAAGAAGGCTACACAGCAAGATTTAACTAACTTGTTTGAAGAATTTGGACAAATAGAGTCTATTAATGTAAGTAAGCATGTTATGCATTTTCAGGGATTACAGACTAGCAATTTAAGCATGCGTATGGCTGTGAATTCCTTTTAGCAGCTTTAGCTTGTATTGAAACTTTTTTTAATCGCTGCTTAAAAAAACTGTGCCTATGATATTTGTTTGTTGTTTTCCATGTACTGTCTTTTGAAGCACTGAAGACAGTGCACTTCATGGTAAAATGGCTTTTTCTGAACCACTAACAATTTACACAGTTTTTAAAACCAGGGTCTTAACAAATAAAAAGTTATGTCTTTTCTCTTCTTTTGGTGTGGCATGGGGCAGGTATCGTTTTTCCTTGGACTAATGGACACAAACTGATGTGCATCCATATTGCCCTTATTTATGTTCCATACACAGGGCTCCTTAAGTGAAATCAATGTGGATAAAACATTTAGAAGAAAACAAATTGTGTTGTAAACAATTGTTTGTTCTAAAATGTGACAATTCAAAAGATGCTTGTAATTAGGAGATACATTTCTCATGTTTTAGAGTTGTTTAGATTTAAACATTTAGAGTTGGAATTCAGCTTCAAGAAAAAGTATTTTTCTCCTGAAATAACATATCTATGTGAGAGAAATTTGGAATTGTCTCTTGCTCCAGTGGTTTTAAAGTGCTTCTCATACAATTTCATTCATTTCAGATAATTTTTTTTGCTATTTTTCCTATCACTTTAATATATTCAAATATATAACTAATAAGGAATAGTTTTTGTGGCATTACAGAATCTTTTAAAAAGCTTTTCAAGTCAAAAAAATCCCATGACCTGACATTTAAGCCTCATTTTGATTATCAGGGACTAGCAATTAAGAAAGTTCAAAGGAAGGTAATGTAACCACCATAATGTCTCAGTGTCTGCTACGTTTCAGAAGCAAACCATATTGTAAATAGTTCATCCTCCACATTGCACAAAACTTTAAGTACGTAGGATAACATTGTTGTGTATCTTAAACATATTTTTGTAAGAACTACATTAAAGTCTGTCACCTTACATGTTTTTATTTGCTATGTTACTGTGTGCTCCTAAAAAAACCCATAAAAACACACCTATATTTTATAACTTTTGACTAAAACTAAAATAAGCAGTTCTTATACATGATTTGCAAACTTTCAAATATTACATGTCACATCATATTTTTCTTTCCCAAGTAAAACATTAAAGCTACTGGAAATCACACTTCAGGAATGAGGACTCTACCCTTCAAAAAATACAAGATGCTTTTAATCACTAGTTTACGCCTTTGTGAAGGTTGTTGCTCAGCTCATGGTGAATTTGGAGCTTAACAAGATGTAGCAACCTTTGCTTTTCTGAAGTTGTTGTAGTATAGCTCTCAGTTCTTCCTTGCTCTACGTGTTCAGATCTTTCATGGTATTTTTAGCAGCCATTCTTTGCCTTGCTGCTCTTTGTTGAAAATGTTACAACTGAAGTACCCTGCCAATATCACTCTAAGTGTTGCTGATACTCAAAATTGTTAATGTTGCTGATTAAGGTCACGATTGTATACAGTGTAAGCATTTTCTTTTTTAGTAGTAGTATTCACTTTGTGTAGTTACATCATGTGAAGTACTGGTTTTCCTACTTTTTAAGATGGTTGCTTTTTTTTCCGTAGATGATTCCCCCAAGAGGTTGTGCTTACGTCTGTATGGTTCACAGACAAGATGCGTATCGTGCTCTTCAGAAACTTAGTTCTGGATCCTATAAAATTGGGTCTAAAATAATTAAGGTAAGTTGATTTTAATCTAAGGATTCTGTCCATTTCAGTTACAATACAGTTTTTCAATTTGTCAGTGAGCAGCTGTTCATTCAAATGTACAATATATGGAGAAGAAGAATGAAGCATTAAGATGTAAATAGTTTTCTTTCTTCTCTGTGTAAAATGCAGCTTTTAACAGGCAATATGGAAGACAGCAAAATGAAATTACGACTTGATACTTGGGAAGTGTTGGAGAACATTTTATATGTGTGCTAGTCATGAGTACAAGAAAGTAAGCAATACAAGTCTTGTACCTGACCATATGGATCACTTAATATTAAATTTGATAGTATTCTTAGCATTAAGTATATGATTAAATGCTGTGTTTTTTAAACTTTCTTTGATCCTTTAGGATGAGTCCTTGAAATACTCTTAATTTCCCCATCTATATGTTAGAATTAATGTGGAACAAATTTAAGCTTTTTTGATGTAATTAATCAACCTGTTGTTGCAGAGGCCAAGTAAACTTCCTACAGGTTCATTTAAAATTAAAAACTTGTTAAAACTTTAATAAATAGACACTGAAGGTTGGTTTGCAGTGACAGAAACATGAAGGAAATGATCTGAAATATTTTGTTCACAGGTTATATGATTTAACCAGATTCTCTGGTTTTGTTTTATTTTCAGATTGCATGGGCTCTGAATAAAGGTGTTAAAACAGAATACAAGCAATTCTGGGATGTGGATCTGGGAGTTTCATATATTCCTTGGGAGAAAGTAAAATTGGATGATTTGGAGGGCTTTGCTGAAGGTGGCATGATTGACCAGGAGACAGTAAATACAGGTACAGACATTAACAATGATTCTTCTAGTAAGAAAAGGTGTTTATTTTGGTAATCGCAAATCCTCAGAAAGTTTATTGGTTTAGGTAATATGTACTCCTTTTCAATTTACATTAATTTTACTAGCTTTTTGTTTACAATACAAGTGGTTCTGTAATCCTGAAATCCAGATTGTCTTTGTAGATGGGTAGCTAATTGATTGTTATGACAATGGGGAATTACTGACAAAGGGAATTAATTTAAGCAAGTCAATAAAGGGTAGCATTTTTAAAAACAGTTTTGAGTTTGCTGTGTACTCATTTCCAAGTATGTAAAATATTAATTTATGTAGAAATTATGATCTGCTTATGATTGTGACGAGTCTTATATTCAGGTATAAGACTTAAGTTGGATTTGGAACGTGTCCAAACAGGTACAGCTTTGCTGAACCTTAAGGTGTTTCCTCCATATAGTTGAAGAGACAGGAAAGCAAGCAATGTTAGACCTTACTCTGAAACCCAGTTAATTGAGAGGTTTTTAATTTGTAAAAAAATTCAGGAGTACTGTCTTTTCTTGAAACAGATCTAGCACCAGATGACTGGCTGTACTGAACTAAGCCGTAGATTAAGACTGTTTTATAATAGAGACAATAATTTTTCAGGTCAAAATGTAGTCTTGCTTTGAGTAAAAATTTAATATAAATGGCAAAAAAATTAAAACATGAAACATTGCTGAAATAGATTCACTTTGTTATATTTGAAATGCAAAATGTTTTGAGAAAGTGGCAGAAGGAAGAAATAGGAGTTGGGGTGAGGTTTAACATGAGGATTCCCTGTCTTTGTGCAGTAGCCGGCTGATAACACAGTTATGTTGAGAACATCAGTTTTTAGAAAACTGGGGCATAATCTATATTACAAATTATTAATGGAACGATTAGTGAAAAATCTTGGCAAGTTTTGAAAAATCAGTTTGTGTACAGGCATAATTAAATAGTATTGCAAGTGATTAAAGATATTTACATTCTCTAAAATATATAATAATAAATAATTGCACTTGCTTAGTTTCATAATAGATTTGGGGGTTATTGGTAATGACTCTGTATAGATTCCAGATTAAAATTGATTGTTTGAGAAGGAAGAGGACTTTTTAGTATTTAAGCAAAAATAAGGCATTAATTATCTTTTCATATTAAGAATATACCTTTTTTTAAAGAATGGGAAACAGCCAGAAGCTCAGAAGCTGCTAAAGAAAATACTCAAACTACGCAGAGTGCTGTGATGGATAAGAGTACCGTTGTTACAACTCAGACAGAAGCTTACACGCAACCAGTCACTATGCTGCAGGTTTGTATTGGTCTGATTTGCAAAAAACCCAAAGAGTTGGAGGGCAAAATTTTTATTCAATACAGATAAAGTTTACTGCTGAGTTAAAGTACTTAAATCAAAAATGCTTAAGTCCTGTGTCCCTGTGTGTTTTTCTCTGAAGTATTTTAGAGTAGAATTAGTTGCCATGGTTGAGAAAAATCTTTAGTTCCATGCACAACATCCTGAACTTGTATGCCAATCTCACATGAAGACTTGAAGACAGAGCAACTGTAAAAAAAAATAAATATATATATACACATGCACACACTGACATGTTAGCTTTTTAAGGAGAAACTAAAGAATAGTCAAGAAAACACAGAAAGTATTTTGCATTTTGCAAAGCATCTTTCTATAAGCTAAGCGATGCAATAATCTTTTTTTCACTTGTGCTTGTTTCTTCTCTACTTGTGCTTTTCCACATATCAGCTTCGAATATAAGTTTAATTATTTTCCCCAGTAATTTTTGGGCAGGATTTCATAGGGACAGTCTCATCTTTAAAAGATCTGATTATTCAAAGTATTGTGCTGTTGCACTCTATATGCGATAATTAATAAGAATCTCTGATTCATTACTGTATCTTTTTTCCTTCTGCTAAAACAGAATTTTTATTAACATCCAGTCAGTAACAAGGTATTGTGGAAGGCTAGAAGAATACAGTGTAACTTTTTGAGTATACTACACTATAGATGTTTATCAATTATAAATAGAAATGCTTTTCGTCAGACTCTCTAAATCCTTTATCATGACCATATGAAATTGTAAAATGAGAAGCAGTTGCTTAATACAGACAACTTCTTACTCATATTGGTTTTTTTGCTAACGTGTACAGACATTTCCAATACTTGAGCTTATGTAAAATTACTGTGCAAGTTAAGATATTTGCATTTACTTACATTGAATTTTGAGCTTTCTTGTTTTTATAAACATTGTCTTCATTCTTCTTATTTCATCTGTCTCCTAGTGTACTTATATATTGCTTTTATTCTGCTACTAATTACTTGTAATTATCCTGTGCTGTATCAAAGCATGTAGCTCAAACAAAAGTTGGAGAAGTATTAAGTAATTTTCAGGATTTCATCGGGATTATTAGCTGTATAATTACATACACTAAACACAGCTTTCCCGAGCTGTTCTAAAATACATAAATTTTTCTAATGAGAATAGAATCACTGTTTTCTAATGCTCTCAAATTGTCACACTATCTACATTTTCTTTCCTTCCTTCCCCCCCTCTCTCTCTGCATTCACCTTGCTCCCATAGGTAATTTTTATTCTTTAGTAAGTATAGTGTTTAACAATGTATTTTTCTTTCTTTTTGGAATAAAGAAATTCGCATAGGATTCTTCCAGTGTCCTTGTTTGTCTGTAGTGTAGGTACCATTTAAGAATGCAAGCTGATACTTTACAGTGTTTAGAATATATACAAAACCTTTGGTACATTTGGTGCTTAACATGAATTTCAGTCATACTGCTTTATCTCTCTTTTAATGTTATTGAATACTGTTAAGTATTGAAGTTGCTTGTTTTTTCTTTCCATTAAAAAAGATTCCAGTAGCTCCAGCTGTACCTGCTGTTAGCTTGGTTCCACCTGCGTTTCCTGTCACAATGTCTGTCCCTCCTCCTGGTTATAGCGCCATTCCGCCTCCACCCTTCTTGCGAGCAAGTTTCAACCCTTCGCAACCACCTCCAGGTAAGTTAGTAAAAATAGAGTCATGTACATAATGAGTATACTCAGTTTGTGTGCTTCTGTGTACATTATGCCTTGTATAGTTTTCCATCAGATACTGGCTACTGTTTGAGCCAGTTGACCTTTGAATCTTTAATCTAGTATGAAATTTCTTATGTCAAACTTGTTATTATTTTTACCAGTGTATTCTGTTGAGAATAGGAATTGCAGCAGATTTTTTTTGAACTTTGATAAAAATGGAAATTTAGAAATCCTTTAAGATCAGTCTTCTTTCTTTGGAAATTTTTGAAACTCTTAATTTTCTTCTTTGGATAGTGCTGCCAGAAATCACTTTTAAAGATGCACATGCAGATCATCTACAGTAAAGATGGAGTTGCTTTTGAAAACGATAACCACCATTGCCTCTTCCTACACATTTGTTGTTTGCTAGTCTTAAGTGATGCAGCTATTCAGGATAAATAATGTAGGCAAGATTTTACTGTGAAACCTTGTTTGCTTCCCTTGTAATAATGTGTAATTTTCTTCCATGAAGGTTACATGCCTCCCCCAGTTCCACCTGTGGTCCCACCGCCTGTTGTCCCACCACCTCTTGTCCCACCAGTTGTTCCAACACGTAAGTTTGATTCCTCTAATAGTTGTTTCTGTGTTATGAAAAGCTTAATTGTTTGATATACTACTCTTTATTTAATCAAAAGCAAGTTAATCCTGTGTAATGGAAAATAGCAACACAGGAGTTACTGTTTAGCTGGTTTAAGGAGGTATCGAGAAAAAGATTTACAGAGCTTTTCAAGTTGACTGAAAAATGATACTTACCATGGAGTTACTGGAAAAAAAAAACCTATGGCAAATTAATTATTTGTTGTTTTTATGCATAGTTCAATATTTTAACCTGTCTGTAACAGATACATCTGTTACTTGAGCTGTTTGATGTTAGTCACTGAATAATTTATAATAATTTATTGTTAACTGTATTCATTTAATGTTTAAACGTATCTGTTAAAGGGTACTGATTGCTTAGGTTGCCTGCAGTTTGTGGTCTCTACAAAAAAAATTACGATGCTGATTGAGGAAAAGAAATTATCAAAAAACCTCTGTCAAACTAATCTTGAAGGCTTGAATATATGATTACTGTGATACACTTTTCTTATTTTTCCACAGCTTTAGTACAGCCTCCATTACCAATTGCACAAGAGACAATGAAGGATGTTCCTTTTACTAGCCTTGTTCTACCAGTTGGCACAGTTACTAGCAATCTACCTACTTCAACATTATCTGCTGGAAATGTTTTTAATCCTCTGCCAATCAGCAAACCAGAATCAGATGAAAAGGGATCACATCTTACAGATCTTCAGATTTCTTCCAGTGAAAACAGTAGATCTGGTAAGGAGTGTCTTTATTGTCTCATATGATCGCATGCATCGTACTTCTGAGGGTTTTTTTGCAAACTGTAGTCCGTTGCACTCATAAATAGAGTAGGAAGTTTTAGGCTGGGTATTATTTTCAATTTAAGTTGGAGGAGTGGTGGGAACCATCTTTGACATCATCTGATAATTGATTTCTAGCAGCTTATGCTCAGGGATATTTTCTTTGTAGACTTAACAAGTAAAGCTGAGAGTAGGCACCCTTTAGAAAACTTCTTAAATGTGCATTCATACTACACACCTGACAGTGGAAAGGAGCAGGAGAGGGTAGATAGTGTAACATTTATAGAATTACATCAAAGATTCTAATACTTCCCTTGCATAAATTCGGTGATAGCTGTAGGGTTGATCAGTTTTAAGCTGCTATACATTCTTTACTATGTAGAGACATTCATTTCTGTGGCATAATGTCTGTTTATCACCAATGTGATTAAAATGACATATGTTCATTATAGAAACTGAGACATAGCTTGTCAGCAGTATCATCACTGAATGCATTAAGAGAATTTTAAGCTGCATTTTGTTTTGAATGCTGTGTGTTACACTGGCATTTTCTGTTAACTGTTCTTCTTGTTGCTGCGTTTTAGTGCAAAGCGATGTCTCGAGTAGCTCTGGACTTGGAGGAGTGCAGCCACCCAGTGTCTCGAGTAGTTCTGGGCTTGCTGGAGAAGGGCAACCACCCAGTGTCTCAAGTACCTCTGGACTTGCAGGGGGAGTACAGCCACCCAGTGTTTCAAGCAGCTCTGGACTTGTAGGAGGAGTACAACCACCAGCTGTTTCAAGCAATTCTGGTCTTGCAGGAGGAATACAGTTACCTAGTGTCTCCAGTAGCTCTTCTCTTGCTGGCGGAGTTCAGCCAAGCAGTGTCTCAAGTAGCCCTGGACTTATGGCAGCAGTGCAACCACCAAATGTCTCAAGTAGCTCAGGGCTTCTAGCTGGAGTGCATCCACCCAGTGTCTCAAGCAGCCCTGGCCTTCTGACAGGAATGCAGCCACCCAATGTCTCAAGTAGCTCAGGAGTTCTGACAGGAGTACAGCCACCGAGTGTCTCAAGCAACTCTGGGCTTCTCATAATGCCACCACCCAATGTTTCAAGTAGTTCTGGACTTATGGGAGTGCCACCACCAAATCTTTCAAGTAGTTCTGGACTTCTGCCAATGCAGCATCCAGCTGGGGTTCAAAACATGCCTCATTTAAATATTAGTAGTCAAAGGATGCCAGGAAT